GGTGGGGGCCGCCTGCCGAGCGATGGGCGTGCCGCTGTCCTAGGAGCCTCCTGTCTTCTCCGCTCAGCGCCGGCAACTCCGCAACTATTGGCCAAGCTGGGGCTCCGCTGTGCGGAGGGGAGGGGCTGTCTCGGTGTTGGGCGGGGGGCGGATCTTGGGCGCCATCGCCAGGGAGGGGCTGTCACAGTGGCTGCGTTGTGCAGGTGCCGACTGGTGAATTAGATTATGTTTTTCAGCTCAAGGCTATCTCTTGAGTAGACCTCAGTGATACTGGCGCGTGTGTTGTGATGAGCGTGGATGGAAGCTAACGTGGGGTCACGGGTGATCTGACCTAGCTTTAACTCTCAGATGTAAGGCTGCTGTATTAACCCATTGCTTTGGTACAGTGAATGCTCATTTGTAAACAAAATGATGAGTCATCAGGGTGTGACAGAGGAAATCTGTTAATGATTTTTCACCAGCAGTTATGTCCATTCAGTAAGCCATTAACTCTCCTGATGTGGGTCTGGAAACTCCCAGTTTAAATGAGTGACTCTGTCACTCTTTCTTTTCAGTGGGGAGTCCTGCTGAGTCCAGGTTTCAGAACAGAAGGGAGATGTGGGGGAGGGCGGAGAAGGTAAATGTCTGTGAGCTAATGGTATTAGAGGTGGGGAAAGGACATACCACACTAATACCAACCCTGGTACCTTCCCTTGCAACAAACCCCGTTGCCAGCTTTGTCCACATTTTCACTCTGCTGATACCATTATTGGACCTAACCAAGTGAGTTATAAGATCAAGAATACATATTCCTGCGCATCCAGAAATATAATTTATGCTATCATGTGCCGAAAGTGTCCATCTGCTATGTACATTGGACAAACGTCTCAGACACTTCACCAAAGGATCAATCACAAAGAAAAAACAGTTTCTTGCCATTTCAACCAGAAAGGACACTGTCTCAACGACTTAATTACCTGCATCCTGCTTCGGAAGCCTTTTAAATCTGCACTTGAAAGGGAATCCTTTGAACTGTCATTCATGCTAAAATTCGACACTCTATGCATCGGTCTCAACAAAGACACTAACTGTCTTACCCATTACAAAGATAGCTTCCCCAATTATCACCTCTAATAGCTCCCAGACATTTACCTTTCCCCATCTCTAATACCATTCGCTCACAGACATTTACCTTCCCTCCCACATCCTCCTTCTGTTCTGAAATGTGATTTGTCCTTTTCATATGTATTCATTTTTTTTAATTGTATCCTTTGGTATATATGGTTGTGACTATTTTCTTTCACTATTTGATCTGAGGAAGTGGGTCTGGCCCACGAAAGCTCATCATTTAATAAACCATCTTGTTAGTCTTTAAAGTGCTACATAGTCCTGTATTATGTATTAACCCATTGTATGCTTTGGCCTTACCTCCCCTGCATTCAGTCCTGCCCCCAAAACTAAAAATCAGGAGGCTGGATAAGATATTTTAGGGCATTAATGGAAAAATCGTTATTTGTACTTTGAATTATTTTTCAAATGCATTCATCTTTGTTGTGCTTTTATAGTTCATATTCAAAACTTACTGTAAACTCTTGTTTTTCAGTCCCACTTATCTACCCCCCCTCCCCCCATACCACAGTTTTGCTTTATTGAGAGCATAACGGCAGGGGCTGCAGCTGCTGCTTTTGGGAATCTAACTATATGAAATAATGGCCAGTTATAAACCTGTAGTGGTTCAGTCATTTCCCAAGCTTGGTGAGAAAATCACGCAAGATACTTTGTATTGGAAGAATTACAAGGTGAGAGTGCATAATTAACTATATAGAAAAAATAACTTATGTGTTTGTGTAGTAGTTCTTGCTGAAATGTTTTGTCTTGATTTTTACCTACCCTGCTATTAAAATACTTTTAATGCAGAGCCCCTGGGGGGTAGCTCTTGGGACTGAGCCAGGCTACTTCCAGAGCTGTAGCAGGAGTGGTTCCCAGGACCTGGCACAAGTTGGGACTCAGTACTTATGGTGCTAACTCTTATTGATTAATCATGTAGTCAGTAAAATTTTTGTTGACTACATGATTACTGAATTACATGTTTCTTAATACAGTAAACTTCCAATAATCCGGCACTTTTAGGACCCAGGGGGTGCCGGATTATCAGATATGCCAGACTGTCAGGAAGGGCGGGCTATGAGGGGTCTGGAGTGGGGGGGGATGCCACCCCAGATCCCTCATAGCTCCCCCTTCCGATAGTCCGGCTCTTCCTCAAGCGTCCCTGATTCAGCTGATGCGGCTGAATCGGGGACGCCTGCAGCAGAGCAGCTGGAGTGCTGCCTGGTTGGTCCGGTAGTGCTGACCCTTGGCGTGGTGAGACCCACCCGGCAGCACCCCAGCTACTCTTGGGGACACCTGGGACAGAGCAGTTGGGGCGCTGTGGGGTTGGTCCAGTAGTGCCGCTCCTCGGTGCTGTGGGACCAACCCGGCAGCCCCACAGCTGCGCTGCCCCAGGTGTCCGGATTCAGCTGCTGCTGAAACTGGTCAGGGGCTGATTCCAGGAAGCCAGGGCAGAGCAGCTCTGCCTCGGGCTTCCTGGAGGCAGCCGCTGATCAGTATCAGCAACGGCTGAATTGGGGACAGCTGGGGGGCTGCTCGGTTGGTCCCGCAACCCCGAGGGGCAGCGCTACAGGACCTACCTAGCAGCACTGCAGCTGCTCTGCCCCCGGCTTCCCTGATTCAGCCGCTGGTCAGTTTTAGCAGCGGCTGAATCAGGGAAGCTGGGGGCAGAGCAGCTCTAATGGTCCGGCTGCCCGAAGCACTTCCGGGTTCCTGATGGTGCCGGACCATCAGGAGTGCCGGACTATCAGATGGCGGACCATTGGAGTTTTACTGTACACCTATTTTAAACTCATGTATCCATTTTGAGTGTAAAGTCAAAACTTCAAGACTCCAGACTAACTTGAATTTATTAATTGCTTCTTCCTGTGTATGCAGTTTACTCAAATAAAATATAGTCACCTCCATTTATCTTAATGGCAATTATCACAATAAGTTTTAGTACATCATCTTCAAAATGTATACCAGTTTAGTTATGTACACATGGATATTTTAAAAGTATATAATAGTATGAACGCGTTTTGCATTTTGTCTAATTCCCTAGTAATGAAAGAACACGCATAAAACATAAAATTAGAAACAAAAAGAAAAATTTAAAAAAACTGGGAGGGGGACATTCTTTTTTTATGATCTAATTTTTTAATGTTTTTGAAATTCAGCTTAGAAAATAATTGTAGACTATCTAGGTCAAACTTTCATGTCTTTGTAAGCCTACTGTTATGGTAAAAATGACCTGTCTTTTAATTACTTCAATTCATTTAGACTCCTGTTCAGATAAAAGAATTTGGTGCAGTGAATAAGATTGACTTCTCTCCAGTTCCTCCATATAATTATGCTGTCACAGCCTCTTCAAGGGTAAGTTTTCATAATAAGCCCAGTTTCACTTTTCAGTTGGTATTGAATAAGAATTTACTAATTTGAAATTTGTAATTTTTATTAGATCCATATTTATGGTCGGTACTCTCAGGAGCCAATCAAAACTTTCTCTCGCTTCAAAGATGCTGCTTATTGTGCTACGTATCGAGATGATGGCAAGCTGCTGGTTGCTGGTAGTGAAGAAGGTGTCGTTCGGCTATTTGATATTACTGGAAGAGCAGCATTGAGACAATTTGATGGTCACACTAAGTAGGGCAACATGTTTTTATTCGTTGTGTATTATAAGCCTTCTTGTGTAAATTTTTATGATTGAAATACCATGGAATACTTTGCATAGTATATTTTGTGGACTAGTCTTGGAGTCATTGTGGATAGTTTTCTTAAAACATCAACTCAATGTAGAGTAGCAGTCAGAATGTTAGGAATCATTAGGAAATTATTAGATAAGAAAATATCACTACCTCTGTATAAATCCATGGTACACCCACATATTGAAGACAATATACAAATGTGGTCACACCATCTCAAAAAAGTGGAATTGGAAAAGATACAGAAAAGGGACAACAAAAATTATTAGGGGGTATGGAACAGCTTCCATATAAAGAGATTAGGATATCTCATCTTGGAAAAGAGATGGGTGAGGGTGGGGAGATATGTTAGAGGTCTATTAAAAACATGACTGGTGCAGAAAAAGTAAATAAGGAAGTTTTGTTACTTATTCTCTATAACATATAAAGTCAGGGGGGCATCAAATGAAATTAACAGGTAGAAGGTTTAAAACAAAAGAAAGTCTACTTTGCATACCATACAATCAGTCTGTGTAACTCCTTGCCAGAGCATGTTGTAAAGGTCCAGACTATAACAAGATTCTAAAAGGAACTAGATGGAGGATCGGTCCATAAATAGCTATTAACTAAGACAGGCAGGGATGGTATCCCTAGCCTCTATTACGCGAGAGGGGATGGATCACTCAATTACCTGTTTTGGCCAATCCCAAGCACCCCAGAGGGAATGAACAATCTTGGAAGACAGGATACAGGATTAGATGGATCATTGGTCTGATCCAGTATGGCAGTTCT